ATCTATACTGTCATCGAATTTTTGGTTCCCAAGATAAGACAGTTGAATTGGCTTTTTTGTGGATACCTATTGAAAATAATTTCTGAATTTTAAATACTTGAATAACGTTACTTCTTTCGTATAATGATACAAGCTAAACAAAATCAGAATATTTTTTTTTCGAAATTAAAAACAGTCCAAGAATAGTTTTGATGAAAGCCCATTTTCTGTTGAAATTTTCATCTAAGAGTCCAAATGACACTAAAGATGCACCAAGGTTATATACAGAAATGTCATAATTGGAACCAGCCGAAACCTCGCCATCAACTTCATCAAATATATATTCTGATTTTTTTTTCAAAGAATTAAGATAAGAAAACATCTGCTCTTGAATAGTTTTATTCCTTAGGCGATCCTTCTATTGCTTTTTTAAGGCTCCGTTCCTCAAAAATCGATCTCAGACTAGGAACATCCAAATTACATGAAACTTTCAGGATATGTTGGGACTGGTGTAGGAAGGTATGGTGAAATTTTCGACCCTATATCATGACGTTTGACAGAAATATTCACTAAACAAAGGTAAAAACTAGCTCGATCGTATCTCTAAGAATTGTCTGTAGGCCTTTATTCTATACATTTAATTTTTTTGTTTCAAGCTCTTGTTTAAGGTTAGCTCCTCTTGTGATCCATTTGTTTTTTTAACTTTTACTTTTTAAGCGAAGAAAAGAGATGAGAAGTTCAATGATTCAAAAAACCGTAAATAATGGACTATTCCTATAGAGGTGTTTTCTTATATGATAATAAAAAAGCTTATTTCAAAGAAAAAGGCGGCGAGAGGGCTAGCCATTTACACGAGCCTTCAAGCAAAAAAAAGTTATTGGCTACAATGAAGTTCCTTCCAGAATTCTTGGAGATACAATCAAAAACTATACAACGAAAAGGATTTTTTGGTTTTTTCAAAAACAGCCTGTTTCGAATAGAAGATGAAAGAAATCTTCAAAAGTTTTTAGAAAAAGCGAAGTGTCGAATAAAAATGTTTGCCGTATATGATAGATCAAATCACGAGCTATCTTCCTCTACATTTATCTGAATTTTGATCATTCTGAGGAATAGTGATTTTTCTTGAGGGATCCTTAAATAGCCTTTTTCAATTACTTCCGTATTTCTTGTTGTGCTAGGAAACGATGTCGCACTACATATCTAGTTATCGTGCTTATAAAGAATTAAGGTCTAGGAAGAAAAGCTATAAGGCTCACTATTATAGAAAAAATAAACAAAAACACTTATTAATCCGTTCGCATTGGTCTAGAAAACAATTAGGACTGAAATTATATTGAAATCGATTAAAAATTTATTATTATATTGCAATTTTTGCCTATTTTTAATCATTATTTAGACGACTTTGATCGAAAAAAAGCCAAAGTTCATTTATAATACGATTGACTCTGATCATAATCGATTAGAACTTATTTAAAAAACCGACTCTTTTTTATGCAAACTGATAAAAATTGGGTGAAGAAATTTTTCATTTATCACAAAGAAAAGTTACTAAAAATCTAATGATTATAATCGATTTAATCTGATTTCAATCCATCTTTCATATGAGCAGACTTGGTACGACCGAAAAGTTGAGCCTACCCCAGATTGGATCCGCTCCGCCGCCTATGAATGCCGAATATCAATTATACCTTCGATTCTAAATAATGTTCAAGACGAACAAGATACTCTTTCGGACTTAATTGATCGAATGTCAAGAGATGGACATTGAGTGGTATTGTGTCTGATAGAACCGACCATGTTTGACGATCACTCATTCGGTGTGAATGTGCGTTTATGTCTTACATTAACCATCACACATCTAAGTCTACCCTCACATTGAGTTTTGATTGCGATTTAAAAATGAGCTTGAGAATTTCAACATTTGAAACATGAGCGACGTATGAATTTATCAATACAAGCCTTGAAGATTGAAAGAGTCACTTATGTCTTTCAAAATTATGCTGCTGATTTCCAGTCAAACAAATCTCATATATAGATCGTTAATAATGTGTAAAAGCACAACTGGAAATATACTAAAAGACTATTGCTCTCTATGATAGCTTAACTAGCCATATATCCTGGTTAGGATAAACTTTTTTGATTAATCTCTTATACTACCATCACATGTTTTTTGTTGAAGTCTTTACCTATTAACTGATATATGTTGAGTGGAATCTGATTTGATTCCAGGAGGATACTGCATTGTATTCTACTTTTTATTTTGAATCACGTCAGTCTGACATTGAATATAAGATGGTAGATCATTCAAATTCAATTATTCATTTCTGATATATTAATGAAAATGTAGTGACAGTTCTTAGCAAATAGGAGAAAAACTTAAATATATTTGCATGCTATAATAAGAATCGTTAGCGCACCGATTAACATGATGATCATTGAATTTAATGCGGAGGTACCACTAGTCATAGTAGTTGCAGATATTGGTTTTGGAATATCTGTGTTACATAGACGTTGGTTACAGCAACATACCCATTAGATAACTCCATCAGCTTCAGTCCACGAGCATCCTACATTGTGACAAAGACCTTCATAAGCAACGCCCAGTTCATAGGTACTATCGCTTTCATTCGTGGTACTCTTTGTCTATAGATACATTGAAATATTCCAATATGAACACTACATACGATTTTGACAGAAAAATAGAACTTACAACACACCAACCCGTAGCTGAAGGAGTGGTACTGACGAAATTAGCGTGTGGTTGGAAGGGCTGCGGACAAATCGAACAATAATAGCACCGATCAGTGATATGTTCAGTAGTTTCACGGATCATGGATCCAGATTTCAATACATCTATAACAGATATTCAAGTGACATAATTGAAGAGTTTATATAGCGTTTAACTTGTTCTTACCGATATAAGCCAAAAACTAAAACACAACAATGACAAAGGTGTTCATCTTTTGATGTTTTATCGAGAGAGAAAGGTACAAATATGTCTCAGTTATGTATAGTATCCTATTTAACAACGTCGTATATATTATATATGTATTGTCTTATTATCTCGCACAATAAGAACAGCGTAAATTGAATCTTACTAGATAAGAACGAACATGTTTACAAGAGATTTTATCTCTTCATCGAGAGATGCATCATACTGATTGTCGCTAAAATATACAGATGAATGTTATTTAAAGTAGATGATGAAAATATATATTTATTTTGATTCAAGAACTTTATAGTGCAATAGATAAAAAACAATTGACAACATTTTCTTTTGAACAATGGGACAATATATCATAGGAAATAGTTCTTAGGTCAATTCTTGCAACATTGTAGTATTGAAACAATGCAATTCATTGAAATTGATTACTTTTAAACTAGAATAAAATTATCTTTCGTTCACAAACTATTCATGCTTAAATTTCAAAAAACAAAAGCATTTGTCACTGAATTTGCAGTTATTTCTTTCTTCATTGAACATGCATTATTGACAAGTTTTTGTATGTGTCTACGGACAAATTTCATAATTTACTTGACCAACTATTAGATAAAATTCATGCAAGTAAATAAGTACATTGACTAGAGCGCCATGTGGACTCTATTACTTTGTTCATATTGGTTCATCACATTCATTGCATATATTGACTAAGTGTGACAAGTCATCCGTTGCATTTAGGAAAAAAATTGTTGAGCTACTCGAAAAGTCGTACATACATTGTTGTTGTTCATCTTCAACGATTGAGAAGTGTCCTTTTGTTTTCTTCAAACCACATCAAAAAGTCTTTTTCAATCAATTGACAAAAATACCCATCAGTACACAAACTTAGTTTAACGAATGTCATTGAAACAAAGTCTTTCGTATAATTCTACTGAACAGAACAACAACAAATAAGAACATGTTGAGGAAATAAATACAAAAAAAAACTCCGTTTGTCGACTTCAAACAGTACTCAAACATGTAATTTTTTTCTTGAAAATAGAGTTTCTTTTTTCTAATTTTCTAACTGCCTGCGAAGATGATGCTGGCAGTGCATTTGTGTCATTATTCGTTGACTTTTGTTCTGCACATTTGGAGGTCAAAAGTCACTTTTCTTACGATGTTGTTATTTCGAACATCGATTGTTGGTATTCTCTTTGAGTTTGATTAACAATTTCATATAGTATTCATCATTAGTCACCCTAGGGTGTGAATATGCGTGGGGGTGGGTGAGTGTTCTCTCTTCAAACTCACATACCCATATCCATAGCCTGTTTGATCACATAGTTCGATGTGTATTTGCAATATTGCACAGCGAATCATTCACTATCAATATAATCGATCGGTGACGTTGATAGTATTTTTGACGTGAGAAATTGTTTGGTTCTAATAAGTGTGATCAATAATAACGGGAAATAATTGTGATGTATTGTATCATTAGTCGTTTTGTTCTGAGTTCTCATGATTCGTTCATGATCATATTTGAGACGAAATTGTTCGTCGACATCGTGCAGTGATTTATATAGAAATCGAAACCAATCCGATAGAAATAGATATGATATCTTTAGGATAACATAGCCGTCTATTGTGCTTTTTTTGTCCTAGCTGAAGAGCGATTCTAGAAGATTCAGAATATCATCGAATGATGAATCATCACGAACACTGGAAGAAATACTTCGACATTCTCTTTCAAACAACAACAATATTCAATTTATCTGTCTCATATCCTACAGCATAATTTTTCTTGTAACTCAAACGTCAAAATTCAAGTTATCTCAATGATGTAAATGAATGAGAATCACGTGTAATGACGCAGGTAGAAATGATTTTGACGTTGTACGATAACAATGTGGATTTTGTTCTTCGACCGAGTATTGATGAATGAAAAAGAAACAAATCGTTTAGCTTGCGTATTTGAACAGGAGAAAAATGAACCAAGCGACATGTGCATCTCGCTCATGCAAATGCATAAATACCGATAAGCAAAAAAAAAACAAGTGCGTTAGAAATGCGTGGGTTTATTTCGTTCTTGAGAAAATATTCAGTTTGAATGGTTATCGTCGAGCATCATTCCGATTCTATTTAGAATACTACCAATTCGAGTATTGTTAATAGTGATTGGCTCTAAATTGAATCGATTCATGACGTAGGCAAACGAAAGATTCTTGGCTGGAGCAGCAAATGCAATACTACCGCCCGCTCCTAGAAAGTATCGACTTATCGACACTGAATTATTTACAGATCGATCTTACCGCTATGGCCAAATGATTTCGGTCCGAACATTGGGAAATCTTGTTCGTAAAGTGCAAAACCCATACCGAAAGGAAGTGATATTTGCAAGATGGTATCAGTTTCATTTGGCAATGTATTCGATGTTGTGGCATGTTGCAAGATTTCTGGTTGCAATAATCGACTATCCTTTCGATCATCAATATTGCCGATGAGTGAAGCAAAAATACGAGCTAACGATCGTGCATTAGTGATGCCGTTTGCAGCTGGAATTTCTGCTTGATGTGTTTGGGCTTCATTGTAGAAACGAAACACTGTCAACATGGAACTATTCAAGATTCCTTCGACATCGGTCAAAATTAACGGTGATACTCGTTGTTCGAATTCTTGCGGAAGACCAATATAGAATTCAGTTTGTATTGGATCGGCAATTTCTTCTCGAATAAATTCTCCGATTGTTCGCTTCTGTGGATCGACTCGTCGTATAAGTTCACCAGCTAACCATCCATAGGTCAATGCATGATAACCTTGAGCATGTCCCGGAATCCAGACAGGTCGTTCCTGTTCAAGCAAATCGATCATTGTTGTCCAATTCAGATATTGATCGAACGAAGAGATCAAAACATTAGGCACACCAGCACGATGTGACAGAATATCTGCGACAGTGGTATTCTATTTGCCTCTCTGCCCGTATTCTGGCCAGTAGCGCGTCACAGGTGCTGAATAATCCAAAAGACCTCGTTGAACGCAAAGTGCTGCAGCGATAGCAACTAAACCTTTTGATGTAGAAAATACCAATTGAAGTGTCTCATTATCATAGACCTTCGTCTTTGACGCATCGAACCATCCGCCAGCCAAATCTACTACTAATCGGCCCTGATGATAAATCGCGATCGAGCCACCGGTATCTCGTCCTTGCACGAAATTCTCTCGAAATAAGTCCCGTACGAATTCCCATCCATTAGCCGTACTACCATAAAGATTCACATCAGCACTAATTGCCAACGAAATACAACTCAACCAACAAATCACAGTCAACCACATGATTCTGTCTTTGTCTGATTCTTATCAAAAACGAATAAAATCTAAAGTGAATAACGATAATCAATACTAGATAAATAGCACTGACATTTTTTTTTTCGTAATCCTTCTAGATAATGCGTATCGTATCGAGAGAAAAAAAAACGATAGATTGTATAGAAAGGACAGACAAGTAGAACAATAATCGAAGTACAATCGTAAATGTCTATCGAAGTGAAGAAAAATATCGATCGATAAAGAGACAAAATGATTTTTTACACAAATATTTTTTTCCATGGCTTTATCGTAGGAAGATGGTGGCAGTTAGCGCATATGTATTAGATTGTAGACGGGATGATAAGTAGATGATCCTGAGACGATCATAGATTCACTTGTATTTAATTCGTTTTCATACCGTCTCAATGCAGCAACACATTGACAGAAACATATCGAATTCAAGAAAATAACCGCAATGATCATAGACCAAATCACATGTTCTATGGGATTAAACGAAGTACCACGAATGAAAACCGGCATAAAACAAAAGATTTGGCGATGTTCGTGCAGAATCTACTGATATAAGACATGATGTTAACGAAAGTATCTGTCTCATAAATGTACATTACTTTTCACAATATTATCTACGTGATTGATTGACTCAGAATGATATGTCGTCAGACATGAAACTCTTTTCACGTCAATCGGTCATAAACTAACCGAATGTTGAATGGAAATAACAAACTAGTAAAATTGTCGGATGAATTTTATAATGAGTTACAAAGTCTACTAGATCGTCTTGTCTGTTGGACTCAACATTCTTCCCTATGTAATCCGGATGTAGGTGTGAGTCTTTAGTTCATTCATACTCACGTCTTCAAGATAATGCAAAACGTTTCAGACTAGTTATGTCGGTCGTCTTCATTTATTTTTTGCTCACTTGGATATTATCTATTGTAAACAAGCATTACCTATATAAAATTATCAAGTTCAATACTTTTTAGTATGTTCGTAAACGAACTCACAGCGTTATCAAAAATCGCTTTGTTCAAATTTCCAACCAATTTTTCAATACTTTGAAAGATTATCTTACTGCTTTCGGATAAAAATAAGCACAATAAGCCTCAAGTCCATCTTCGTGAATAGCATAAAATTTTGGTCCTAATCCATAATTTTTCACTTATTTGAACTACTTTCAAGCAGACAAAAATCAATAAAATATTCTCGAAAAATTTTGGGCTATCCATTCCGTCAAAACTATTTTCTAGACCTTTGAAAGATTCTTTCACTATTCTCGAGCAAAAATAGATAGAAAATTTGTGAGTCCATATTCAAAAAAAAAACACAAAATTCTGATTCTAATTCATAATGTTTCATTCGTGTCCAGAAACTTTCGCACCATCCGTTAGTTGAATTTAAAGTTAGTCTATAAAATAGAACAACTAAGACAAATTGTCATAGATGATTTAAACTCCTTGATTATATTCAATCGCATGAAAGATTAATTTGAAAAAACGAAATTTTTGTCATGATGATCTCTTTCATATTTCTATCGACAAAACAGATATAAAATACAATGCATATCTTCTATCGTAAGAAAATGAGAGTGTGGATGTGGGGATAGATATGAGCGGGTGGATTGGTGGTTTGACTATGCGGATGAAGAGAAGGTCACACCCGCAAGCAGCTCCACTGACAACGAACCACATCCAATACTCTCAGCTGATCGATATTTCAACCAAATCTAGAAGGGATTGATGAAGATACTAAACTAAGTAGAAAAGCTGATTTTAAGAACCTTTTAGTATGCGATGTACCATCAGCAATAATAGAACATTGATTCATCTTATCTTCCATAGGTGGACAGCCACCCTCTTGTATTTTTTGTTTTTGTCTGTGAAACATCGAAGAGGCAAGAACGCGAGGTAATAAAATCGTTGCTCGCAAAGCAAAAACAAGAGATCAAAGACAGGATGTCGGTGTGGGATGTGAGTGTAGATAAACTGAAGATCCACATCCACACTCATGCTCTAAAAATATTTTATTTGAATAAGAAGCGGATGGGAACAAAAAACACATAAGCATTAGAGCCTATAGTGTTTTACAAATAATAGATTAAGCGACAAGTCATTACAAAATAAATTATATATTTCGAATAGTATATATTACTATTTCCAGTACTGATAGGTCCTAAAAATTTATCAAAATTAAATTCAATTTTATATGTGTTTTGTATATTTTTAATATTTTCTAATGAATTACAATTGTTTGTTGTATTACAAACGTAGGACACATAATCTAAATAACTAACACGATCATTTAATAAATGAATTCTTCCATCAATAAATCTCCATTTTTCAATTGATTGTGGAGAATTTTCACAATATGAACATACTCTTTCTGTTAATAAATTGTTTGGATCAATGTTAATGAATGTTGTACAAAATGAGCAATCTTCTTTTTCTGTTGTTGTTGTTTTTCGACGTGCTGGTTTACATTCACTTGAATTTGTAAAATTTGAATAGATAAAACATTCGATGGATGTTGGTAATTGTGATTGATCTACAGATGATCGACTAGGTGGTTTGATTTCAGTTGTTGTTGATTCAAGCAAACGTTTAAGAACAACTTCAGGATTATTACATTTATCTGTTAAACAATGATACAAAATATACGTAGAAAAATTTCCACTATTATGTTGAGTAAATCCAGTCAAAACATAGGGAACATCTCTTCTTTCTGGAGTATCTATTACATTTATACGAAGATCACTTTTTGTTCCATTATCAGTTGTCCAAATATCTAATGAACAAAATTTATTTGGTATAACAATTATTGTACAGTTAAATGTCGAGGGAACATTATCGGGTGTTATAAGAAAATTGTAATTTTTTGGTTCACATTCGAAACATTGTAACATTGAACATGGACTAATTGTTATTAACAGTAACAACCATAGATATAGAATCATCATGTCTAAAAGAGCAAGAGTATATAATGACATATTGTTTTCTATGCCAAAATAGGGAATTGGAATATAGCTCAACACAAGATTAAACTGCTGATAGATGGTAAAAAGCGCTCACTAGAATGTACTACAAATATATTTCTTAGACTGGAAGGCTAAGGTTGAGAAACGGCAAATAATTCGTCTGCTTGAAACATGTTTTCACAATCATGGTCTGTCTCGCTAGGCTGCATTTATTTCTTCCTTTTTGATTGATTCAATACTTATTATTATCAATGTTTCGGTTATTTCTGAAACATAGCTCATAATGAATTTTGGAGTATTTCGTGAGAAAAGTGAACAATTCCTCGAAGAATAGTAGATAAATTGCCACTTTCCAATTTTCTCACAAACTATCCCAGGTATATCAAAAAATAGCATGACGAAAAACAAAAATTCGTTTTTCTTTAATTTCTGAAGACGTCTCGGACTTCGAAACTTCGACATTTTTTAATTTTCACTTATTTTCCTATAGAATGTAAACTTCAATATTTAACACAAGATATGACATTTATGATTAAGAAAGCTCTATCGTGTTGTACATTGTAACTCCACAGGCTTAGTATTGCAATTCGTTAACATAATATTTTCTGTCCATTAGTAGAACACAGAGTCAAACTCGTCATATCCATCAAGTTTACAGTGACTTTAAAAAGTTTTAAAATGCATTAAAAATAATGAAACGAATATTAATTTTGATTTATTTCAAATTCATGAATTAAAATGGTCATTTTCATCAATTTAATTCCACAATCTTGATTTTTAATCAAAATCATTGCATTTGCTTTGTTAAAATGTTTCTTTAAATCAATGAATTTAAAATAGATCAAAATTAATGTCCGTTTCATCATCCGAAATGCCATTTTTTTCTGTATTTTTGATATAAAATTCATGAAACTCATGAAATCTTTTTGATTTTTTAAGTCTCTGCGTTGACATCGTTCTGTATATTATAGATGGATATGTAGCACAAATTTGCGTTTGATCATTCTACAGCAGGGACGTACTGCATGAGGAAGCTAATGACGTTTTAACTCCTCTTCCATCTAAATATTTATGTGCACGTATTTGTTTTACTAACATTTTTTCTAGTACTGAATTCCATTATCTTTCAGTATAGACAAGAGTGAATCGACAGTTGATGAACGTTACTTGTTACTTGTTAAAGAAATTTTGAAACTCTCTCCTATTCACGGTCACTCTCTATCTGTGACAATTTTTGATAGAAGTTCTAGAACGCATGGAATAATACACTATTCTTACAGCAGGTTTCTTGTTCGTTCATACTTATTCATTGTAACTAAATATTGGGATTAAATCAGTTGAAGTGTCTTAAGAAGACTAAGAATTAAATGGATTCTACCTGTGATCAGAAATGCCGGCAATTCACCATTTCACGAGAGTAAAATGAGACTTTTTTAGAAGGTCGCTTTTTAATATCTAACCAGTCTCTTATCTTTTGCACTTACCTTGATGTCACTTGCTTTACAAAAACGAACAAAATGCGAAGATCTAATCTTTGTCGAACGTTGTATTCATTGCAAACGATCAACAACTCAACTCTTATCTTATTGTTGTTGATGATAGGATCACATTAAATTCTTAGCTCTTGACGACTGTTCTCACTGAATAACTGCATAGTTATTCAGAGATTTAATTGAATTCACAGGAGAAGATATAAAGGACCTTTGCACTTTCTTGCATCCTAACCCACACCCACACCCACTCTAAAACCTATTAGTACGTTTAACAATCGAATGTGAAGTGAGGTGAGCATTGGTGAATAATCGACGCTCCCTACACTTACTTGCAACAGCACTCTTATGGTCCGCACTATAGTTTAGTCAATATTACATTGATTCGAACAAATTCTTCTGCGCTAGGTCTCTAAGCATTTATATGAACAAAAGAATATTTTACAGCAGGCGATTCTTACTCAAAGAGCGAATTTTGAGGAATGAAATCAACATCAGATATGTCTCTAGCATATTTGAAAAAATTGAAAGAGCAAAATGATCATTTCATCAATGGGTCTCTTCCCGTAAAAGTTTAATTGCAAGAATTTGATCATTGTATTGAAGATCAGAACAGAAGTAGAATCCACATGCCAGTTTTCATAAGTTGAACAACGTTTGTAACTTGTTCCTGGGCTCATAACGAAAAATGCTTTCTCGTTCGCAAAAAATATCATTGTAATCGGTTAATTAAAGTAATTATTGCTTCGCCAGAAACATCATCGATTTGAATCACTTTCTGGTCGATTAATCTTTTCAACAATTTTCGATTTCTTTCTAATCGTAGTACATCGATCAAATTTTGACCCATTGAATTTCTTCTTTGCAAATCACATCCCATCTCAATTAGAAATTTGACTATGTACTGTCGACAACCATACACGTTCAAACAGACATAAAATAATGGATCATTACCGTCGTCGTCACACTGATAAACGAGTGATGGTGATAATTTCAATAATTTTTTTACAAGTTCATATTCTTTCTTCTGTAATAAAACAAATAATAAATCTGTACTAGTTAACCATGTTCTTAATAGTTCATCATTTAAGAGAGCATGAAAAAATTGTCTTGTTGTTCGATTTTTTGTCATTATATTTACATATTTTTCATTATTCCATGAATTTTGAAATAAATTTCTTATGCGTTCATTTGCATGATAAATTAATAATAATGTATGAACTCGATTATTTTCGATTAGATTATCTAAAATTTGTTGAAACATATCATTAAATTCTTTATCGAATAGTATTTTATCTTCAAGACTATATTCATTAAGTATAATATTCAATATTTCAATTTGACTTGCTTCAATAAATATTTCATGTTTCGTAACAACATTTGTTAATGTAATCATATTGAATATGTCTAAAAGATATATTTTTGCCCAAACTTCATTGCGAAATAAATGTTTCAAAAATTGTATAGTAAAGAGAAGTAAATCTAGAATAGCTTGATAACATTCCATATTGATAGAAGTTATTGTTCTATCCGAATGAATGGTATTTATTTGGTACATTGAACAATATAGAAAAAAATGAACACTATAGCCATCATAATAAAACCAATCTTGATCTTGTAGAAGATTTGGATTTGAAATAATAAGTGATTTGAACATTTGAACAAGAGAATTGATTAATCGTTGAGTGGAATATTCAATAGAATTAAGCTTTGCAAGTAACAATCCATTAATTGCTTTAGCAAGATTAAATTCATGGAATTCGCTATCATTATATTCAAGACGAGCACCTTTTGTTAAAATAAGTGATACAATTTGTTCAATATTCTTAATAGATATAGGACAGTTTTTTAAATTTTTCAATGAATTCTTCAATTCTTCATCAATATTTCGTGTTTCATCATTTGTGAGAAGTAAACGAATAGATTGAAAATGTTCTATATAACATTTAAATTTATCTTTCAATCGATTAGTTTTTTCTTTAATATGAAAGATAACTAATGATTGAAAACATTGTCGAAGTACTTTGTCATTCTCAGTTATAATTATAGATAATAATTGTTGAGATACATTATGAAACACTGCAGAATTATAATAGTAATTCACATATTTATCATTATAATGCATATATAAAAAATCAGTTAATAAATGTAAACGTCTATCAACAAGAATATTATTCAGACGTTTATTTAATCCTGAAAATGTTCGAAATATATTATAAACATTACCAGAATATTGTAAAATAATCATTAGAATTTCATCGGGCAACGCTTCAAACGTAGTTGACATGGTTGAATGTTTTTCTCACCTGTAAACAAGAAATAATCATATGATATTTTGCGCGTATGTTATTTCACAACCTACAAGTCATACTTGTTTCATTGGATGTCATAGTTCTTTTTTTTTCTCTTTTCTACGCGAACATGAAAATAGCTACGTGAATATGCTTCAGTGTACAAGGATGACGGTGAATCTCGCTACACCGTCACCTTTTCATCGTTCCTCACCGGTAACCGTTTCTTGTCAGCGAAGCAGTTACCTATGAGACCGATTATCATCACCGCAGAACGGCTAAATATGGTAGTGTTTGCTAATCGTTAAAATTACCACGAGAAATGAAGAAAATAGAAATCAGCACTAAATATAATAATTCAACATTAACCATTGAAAGCGTAAGTTCAAACTTTCATATTAAATACTAATAGCTACATCTACGAGCATAGATTTAATTGCATCGTTGTATTCTCTTTTAGAATATGGTCTATGATGACAACGAAAAATACATGCAGTAGAATGTAAGTGTGAATTTTCTCTTCGCTTACACCAACATTAGGATTATCATATATATTCCATGCTGAGGCGCATAGTTTTGGATGTTGAATCCTTTGTATCGTAGAAAAAACTGCATCTCTGGAAACAGTTTTTATACTCAATTTGAAGATTCATTCTTTAGACTGTATAAAAAGAATTGTATGCTAGTGCAAATCATATAAAGCTTTCTATTTTGACCACAGAACTTTTTCTATAAGTATACAGTATTGATAATAGACTATCATATTATTATTCAAACTTGAATTCTTACTTGATATGTCGTTTCTCTACATAAAAAATGTACGATGCACAGAAATGCTAGTGAAAGTTAAAACAAAATATTTTATATAGCTCTATAAATTTACGATATGAACTGCTCGAAGATTGATATGAAAACCTTTTATTTAGCTTACTAGAACGCATCTACTTTAATTCTTGTTATAGAATGTTATTGAAAAATGAACAAATAAAATCTTTCTCTAAACCAAACTCATAAAATACGGTTCTTCTCACAAAAAAATGCTGCTATCCACTACATTTTCTTTTAGAACCACTTACGTTATGTAGAATATGTATAAATCGTCACTGTACAGGGCGGGTAAAAATATTTTTCTAGATAGTAACGCTATGATTTCAAATTAGTATCTATAACAAATTTTATACCAAATTAAAGCGCGTCGAATATGCAATTTATCGATGTTAAATAGTAAAGGTTATGGCAACTTGAACTTCTACACCCATACCCATACATCCACGCTGGCTACTATTGCTCTAAATTAGGCTATTTCAAAGGCAAAAATTGGATGTAGGTATGAGTCTTTGGTCAATCTGCATCCACATCCACATCTACCCTTGCTAAACGTTATTATGCATTTCAAGATGCCAGAAATGTAAGTTTTTCATCGATTTATGAAAGATGTTTTTATTATCACAATCGATATACGTACGCATATGCCAAATGCAAATCTTCGGATTCGATTTTGACCACAGCTGTTTCTAGTTAATTATTAAAAGTAAAAGTAAGCCAATAGACAAGAATTTTAAGGTTGACTATAGTAGATCTACACTGAGAGAGATAAATGATCCAAAAACTGAACGATTAAGAGGAAGTCAACAACATTCCAATATACTCGAGTCTTAAGGAAGCTTTTAAGATTACTCATATAGGGCAAGAAATGCTTGAGTAATCATCTAAATACTCAGAACTGGTGGGATAGATGCCCAGCGAAAGTTCATGTTCAGTAATACATACCTAAATACAGGTAAAGCTTGATGATGATGAAAAAAATTTTTTAACATTTTATGTTATTAGTAAAATGAATGTAAGAGTAATAGTTGGATTAAAAGAAGCTCTAGAAAATGAGAAGAATAATATGCATAAACTATTATTGTTGAAAATATTTTAATTTATAATTTGCTTTTTTAAAAAGATCTGAAGTAATTTTACAGCAAATCTAGAAAATATGGTGATCTAATAGAAGGATTTAAACTTTCTATGTAATACTCCGACCTCTGATATAATCTATTCCCTATTCTCGATTGAAATTTCTTTACCTCGTTCTTCTCCTATATGTACTTTGAAGCTATACCATTAGTTTGTCGTTCTCTCGTACATAATGTTGTCCGTAAAAGGAATAACCACAATATTCATTTCCGTTCTGTATATGTACTTTGGAATGACATGCTTAGTATATTCTCCTCTTGTACATAGTAGTATGCATAAAAGAGATAACCGCAATATCCTTTTCCGATCGTTGTGTACTTTGGAATAACATTCTTGGTGCGTTCTTCTCTCGTACATAGCGTGATCCTTAACTGTGCCCTAATCTTTGCTCTTCCCATATTTTCCTGTTATTGTATTTACTTTATTTTTCAAGGTCGTTCTACATATACGAAGTAGTATATAAGGAATGAGAAAAATACAACATCGGCACGTTTTTCTTGTTATACCAATAAAATGTACTTAGAGTAGTTTTTAAGTGGTATGTCTTACAACAGAAATCGTCACACTCTATAATCCATTTGTAAAAATATCTCAACTAGACAAACTTCTATACATTATATATGAACAAATAGGTTTACAGTTGTTTTATTTATTAGATGAATATAATTAGTATTCAATTATTTTCATATAATTTAGTTCTATATGATTATGGATTATATGCCAAGTGATGAGTTTGTAATATTCTTTGAGCAATATAAAACGAATGAAAATTTTGCACGTTTCTATTGTGCTGAGGTTATGCTTGCACTTGATGCCATTCATAGTATGGGTGATATTCATCGATATAAATAAAATTTTTCTTTTGTTTTTTTTTGTTTTTGTTTATTGTTTACTTGATGTGCGTGAACATTTAAAATTAACAGATTTTGGTACTTGTATTAAAATGGATTGATAAATAGTTTAGTTTAAAAATATCCTATTGAATTTTTTTGCTTGTTAAAGGATGATCTTGTTTTATCTAATACTCCAGTTGATGCAGATGATTATATAAGTCTAGAAGTTTTAAATTCTGTGAATAGAATTGGTGTTTATAGACCAGAAGTTGATTGGTGATCTATTGATGTATTTCTTTATGAAATGTTACTCGGTAGTTTTTTTTTTCGTTTCTTAGATGAAACATCATTTTATGCTGAATCATCTGGAGTATCGTATCTTTCCAGAAAAAATAGTAGTTATAAGAAACATCGGTATTTTATGCAACAATTTTCTCAAAATCGAAATTGATTGTTGAATTTCTTTTACAATCAGTGTTGATTTTTTCATTTTTTGGAAAATGAATGTTTTCGAAAATCAAATTGAATTTTCACAATTTAGAAAATCAAGCATTTTCTAATTACGAAAAATTCAAAGCTTGAGCTTATTTGAAGTCTATTTTATAGAACATAGAATTTTAAAAAATTTACAATGCAATATGTAATATTGTACATATGGGGTTTGAAACGAAAAAAAGAAACGTTACAAGTTCGTAATTGAACACACTGCAATTACAATTTAAGCTCGACGTTCTCCTTTGACCTTGTTGCGTCACGAAGTCTTGCTTTGCCCACCTTGGATAAGTTGCAATCGCATACACAAAGTGCATTTAGTGGTCGATTTTTATTGATCATATCAATGAAGAAATCGACACTCGCATCGGTCACTAACGTGTTCAAATCGAAAGATAGTCTTCTGAGACTTGTGTTGCAATGAACCAGTACATTGGCTAATAGCTGTACACCTCGATCACTTATTTTATTTTGAGGTAACCACAGTTGAATCAGTGCTTTATTTGTCTTAAGCATTTCAGCTAGATATTCAACACCCTTGTCAGTAATACCATTACAACCAAGGCTAAGTGCTTTGAGAGTCGAGTTATTCGTTGCGAGTACTTGTGCAAGATAAAAAACGCCCTCATCAGCCACACGATTGTCGAAAATATATAATCCCTCTAGTGTTGTGTTATTGTTCAATGCTTCGGCCAGAAATGAGACACCTTGTGATGTAATCTCGTTATTAGATAAACGAAGCATTGTACACTGCTTGTTGATCATAGCTTGTTGAACCACAATCGGCATGTCATGATTCGTCAACGATTGTCGATCCAAATTTATCAATGAACGAAGTTCACATTTGCCGATCCTTTTTTCGAGTTTCAAATTTCGATAGGTGTCAGGCACTCTCAATATTTTAGCAATCAATCGTGGCATACTCGTGATAGACGGAGTTTTTTTCGCCGGTTCACTCGCTGGCGATATGACGAGTGGAATACGATGACCAGGCAAAGGTTCTAAAAAAGGATATAATGGCTCAACTTCTTTCAGTTGAATGATATGAAGGTCAGGACCCTGATCAAGACTGGCGATAACTTTGAACTGAGTACCAGGTAATAGCAACACTTCATTTTCGTTTTCAATGTCGGAATGTTGATGAATATTCCTTCCACTATAACATTCGATAGTGAACAGAGTTCTTGCATCTGTTTTTCCAAAAAAAGTTTCCGTCTCTAAGGTATTAATATTTTCTGTACATGACGAGAATGCCCACCAGATGAATGTCTTTCCTTGAGGATACAGATGGCTCATATGTTGTCGTATTCCTCTGTAAACGGTACGATTGCCAATTGGTGGAAGATGCGAGAGAGCAGTGAGTAGAAGTCTGAGATAGAGAAACCAAGGTATTAACTTCGTTCTATCTTCAGTGCGTAAAGTTGAATTGAGAATCGAATAGAGTGAGTCTGTGGACAATTCCCATTCTGCAGTATAGAGCATAATCGAAGCTGACTCATCGGATGAGAGATTATTTGCTGGATTTTCACAACGTTGTTTCATAATCCTTGCTCTTTGTCGCACATCATACACAAGTAGAATAAGCGGTTCGACAGCTTCTTCGAGTGAGACCAATGGTACTTCTTCATATCCTTCGATAGGCATCAACATTTTGCGTGGTTCTACAGAAATATCCGAAAAACGGGCACTGAGAGTTTTCCGAATGGTATCGTTTGAAACCGTTTTGAAGATATCACTCTTGGATTTCTGGATGCTGGTTGTGTGTATTCACGTTTAAAAGGAAAATCGAATTTAATCGGCAAGTAATTAACTCAATAAACTAAAACCTCTCTAATGTGAACACCAGTTAAGATTTTTCGAGTATTTTCCAAATGGAATGATTCAATAGAGAGAAATGACCAAATACAAAAATTTTCAACATGAATGATTATGATAGGATGCAATAACCGAATTATTGATTCTCCAATAAATAAATGTATGATGAAACAGTTCAGAATGAAGTTATTCAATATATTCACTATAAATGATACAGAAAGAGATTATATTCATTATTTCAGATTAAAATTCGTGTTTCTTTCGAATGAAGAAGCCATGCGTACTATATCAAAGTTGGTAATTGTTCGGCTCCTCATTTTTAACTTACCTTGGTAACACGTAGTTGAAGAGTCACAGAATGTGAATATATATGATACACGTTTCGTTTCTGTTTCTTTCCAACTATAGGAAAAAAAAAGAACGAGCGAATGATGTATAGCAAAATGTTTTTTTTTCCGCGGAAGTAAATCACATTGAAAAATCAAATGACGCAATGTAAAATAGCGAATAGACTGTTAAAACATCGCAATTTTGGGTGATATCTCCTACTGTCCTGAAGATCAAATCAGCAGAGGAAAGAAACATGACACTTACTGCCTCAATGTTTACTGCATGAAATTTCGTCTATTTTCAAAAAGATGGTGTTTTATACATGAGATACACGATTTTGGAATCTAGTTGAGATTAGAATAACATTTTTATAATTTTCTAGTAAGAAATATGTACAGCGTATAAAAATAGAAATATTGTTTATATACAATGAGTAAGTAGGGTTTTGTTTTTGTTTTTCTGCAATGAGAATAACTTTCCGTTACCATTGTTTACTGATAATAGGGACTTAGGGATATTGAATAATTGGTTAATGGTAAGATGTCAAGCACGAATAACTCATGCTTTTAATATCAGATTTGAAAGTTACTAATGTACTTTGACTATATTTTTGAACCAAAGAATTGTATTGGATGAATTTTTATCAAGCACTCTCCATTTTGATTTACATTTGAATAAGCTATCTTGGATTACTAGGAGATTTTGCACAACCATTTTAGAGGCAAATTACCTTTGGACTTTAGTATCCTCTCTGTATTATTTCTGTTATTGATTTTCTTTATGTATGATCGGTTGGAATCGCCTTTTTGTCTATGTCGATCCGTAATTGAACACTGTTAAAATCAAAGAAACGCTTGAATGAGTATATTGATCTTTACACATCGAGAATATTGCCATTCTAGCGAATCACTGTCATTTAGATTATTTCGAAAAAAACAAAGTCATAATAAACGGATGCCTCGAACTGGTTTTTAATTTTTAATCTGTTTTATTATTGGATTGTTATGTTGTTGTTTTTCTATATAATTTTTGTTTCTCATCTGCTCTGATTTTGAATTTTGTATTTTTCAATTAATTTTTTTAAATAATAAATAGATATCTGATAAATTTAAAAGATGTATTTAGTGATACTGAAAAATCTGAATAATTTTTATATGTCAGGACATAAAAATCAGCAAATTCAAATCAAATATTCAAGTACGTATCGTGATATAACATAAGAACATTACTCATAAGTCTACCATAATTATCTTCGTTGCTAGACGATTATTCTTCTCAGTGATGCATATTAACAAAAAGTATTTTGCCTGGCAACAAGAAGATTTTATTCTTATTCTAATATGAAATAAATTGATGTTTTTGCAATTTATTTTATTCAGGAAAAATAAATATAGATGTCGCCGACAGGAAGTGAATCTACCATTAATTGCAAGAAAGAAACGTATTTCAACTCCTCTGACAATATACCATAAACTTGATTGAAGACTAACAATGGAGGTGTTTGTGTTGTCTGAAAGAAAAATGGCACATATTCGAATCAAATTAAAGCTCTCACTGCCAAACTAGCAGGCTTAAAATATAGGCTATCCTTGTCTTGTCTAGATAGAGCTATTCTATTTTTACTGCACTCATTGTTTGAATATATAGGAACATTATGATTATTTACATTATTTTTTTTTATACAATCAACTAAGTATTTTAATAGTAAGCTTCAAAAATTTTTCTTAACTATACTAACAACATACATCTGGATGTATAGTACATTTGTTGAAATAGTATATTGTATAATCTGTTATTTTCATTTGAAATAAAATTGAAACTATGGATGAGTTAAAAGTTTTGATAACTGTTAGCTGATCTTTATCTAAATTCATACTAATTAAGTTTCAGAAGACATCGTAACTAATGTCAATTTAATATTGTCAGTATACTTAAGAAAAATTCTTGAAACCTACTATTAAAATACTTAGTTGATTGTATAAAAAAATAATGTAAATAATCATAATGTTCCTATATACTCAAACGATGAGTACAGTAAAAATAGAACATCTCCCTCTAGGCAAGACAAGGACAGCCTATATTTTAAGCCTGTTACTTTACCAGTGAAAGCTTTAATTTGATCTGAACATATGCCATTTTTCTTTCGGACAATACAAACACCTCCATTGTGAGATGTTTTTATTCAATATTTAATAGATACAAATTAAAAATACATATCATATCTAAAAGCGATAGATCACACTGTATATACAAGTACACACACACACACACACGAAGTTCATAATCGAGTGACCATACTATCAGGAGAGTTGGGCGCTGTAATTGTCATTGTATCTTCATCTATGACATGTTCAGGTGGTAACGATACCGGATCCATGTCAGCTCGTTTTGGACCAATAAATCGATGGCGAGCGGCAACAATCCAATATATTAATGCAATCAATGCAATTCCACTAATAATTACTATGGTATAGTTCATATTATCTTTTGTTACCGGATATTCAGTAGGAAAACACATAAGAATTGATGTAATAAAAAGTCATATAGATGAGATGATTCCAATTGGAATACTGAATCGTCCTAAATTAAATTTACTCGAAGGAAATGTATTTCGAGCAGTTGTACAACGAAAAAAAATTGGCATAAAATATGATATTTGAAAGCCGAGTGTAGTAGTAGCAATGAGAGCAAGAAAGGCCGTAGTCGATACCAATTGAAGTAGTTGAAGGAGAGAATCAATAATAAACACGAAGACAACATTAGCTAGAGGTGTTTGAGTCCGTTCGAATATCCAACGAAGATAATACGAAAATGGAAATACATCATCACGAGCCATTGCAAAGCTAGAGATTCAAAGAGTATGAGATTTTTTTTTGCATTGAGAATAATGAAAAGGTTCTTACCCAATTCGACTTGTCACTGTAATGGATGACATACCAGCAAAATAAAGATTAAGAATGAGTAGTATAGTAAGTGCAAGTGCGCCTTGATGTGGTAGAACTGATTGATAGATAGCTACAGTGAGACTAATCGTTTTATTGGCGCCATTATGCGCCTCCATAAATGTGGATACATTCGGAATAACAAAGAGAAAAGCGAGCAAATAGATAACACCAACAATTGCACTGCATACACATGTAGCAACGATGCCTTTTGGTGCTATAAACAGAAGAAGGTTACAATCTACGGTGCAAAAGAAATGGAAAAAACACCGAGCGTTTTTTTCATGTGTAATGGATACGCTAGATACTTAAGTTTCTCTTGATAAAGAAAATGAGAAAAAAGGCTGAAGTCGTTCGAAATTCTTTTTCCTACATGTGCTCTGTATCACATTGAAAAAATATTATCTGACTAAGAAAAATTTTCATTCCTTCGCTAAAGTCATATTCTGCAACTCGACTCAATGCTCTACGAGATGAGATAAACATGAACTCTTACGATCATAGAAAATCGAATATGGGTCGTCGCATTAGTATTCTGTCACTATCTTCCGAAGGGAGGGACTAGGTCCACATTTTCCATTATGTGCTTTAACACTCCTTTCAGATTGTATTTCCACAAAACTAGGGTCTTCTGACCTTCCATTGAAGAGATATGAACATTACACGTTTTAATCGTTTATGAAACCAAAAAAATGCACGAAGCCATGGGGTATACATTTTTCAAGACAACAAAAACTAAAATTAATTCTAACTGTATATTCTTATTCCTATTGATCTTTCGTATCTGCTTCGATGACCTAGGAAAAATGATCTCTTAGAAATTGCTAAACATAGTCCTAAAAAGCCGATTAGAAAAAAATCTGTTAAGTTAAATGCATACGGTCAGTCGGGTAGTGGATTTTGTAGAGTAGACTTCTCTCTATCAAATCCTATATTTACTACATTTGGATTTTTGATACATAGCTGAGATACTTATAATCGTAGGTGTTTTTCTTAAAAACTACATCGAATCTGAGCAGTCCTTCATTATCTTGTGAAGGTCATCATCTGATAGGTAATTCGATCTGAATTGGAGATTTTCTGATATGTCGTATGCTGCATTGGAAATCACATTGAACCCTATGAGCTTGATGCATCACCAATTGTAAATCCAAAATTTTGGCCTCTTTGATTAAATTGATGAACAGTTAAGCTAACTCGACTTTTGAGTATTTCTTGACATTTATGGAAAAAACATGAAAAGTTGCTTCTGAAAAATTGCGCCGTATATTCCAACAGCAGATCAGTGAAAATTTTCATGCAATATGCCCAAAAGTTATCGAGAACTAGCCATTTCTGTACTTGAAAGAGGGCTAATTCCACATAGAGGGTGGGCCATGAGACCAATTCTTTTTCCATAATAGAGGATAGTTCAGTGCTTTTTATCCATAAGAACAATATTATTAAATAGTGCTTTGAAATATCATCACTAGCTTCAATAATGAATTTTGTTTGTGAATATTGTCCAAAAGACTTCATTTGAACTTGACAAGCTACATCGAACTATTTCAAAAAAAAGCGAAAAAATAAATCCTCGCTCAATTTTGCTATTGTATAGAATGTCAGAATGAACATTTCTCTATAACATGACATATTGGAATAAAATGTAAAGTGGAATAATCAGTTTATGAGAGTTTTTCCAAGAATCGCTCTTACTATTTCTGAACAGTTTATTGTCCACTCAGCTTTCATATAAAAGAAGTCATTTTATAGGAAAATATTTGCTCTACAAATATAACATGTTTGCAAATGTTTCAACATTGACTAATAAAAAATAATCTTGTCACAATAATTTAAATCCAGATGAAATCTTGTCCTAATCCTACTTTTACTTTTTGCAATTCACTCGTACTTCTCTTATCTGCATTACCTGCACGGCGAGCACTTCGAGTTTCTTCGGCCATATGAGCACCAGCTACAAAACAAAACAGAATAATATCCAAATGTCCTTTCTTGTATCGTCTATCTATATTATATACCTTGATAACCAGAGAATGAAAAAATCGTTGAAAGTATTCCAATGCAACAAACATAAGCAAATGGAAAGCCAGTACCATTGTAGACCGATGTAAAAACGTCCTTAGCAGTGGCTCGTTGTGGAGCCATGACAACGAGAACAATCGCAATACTGATTGCAGAAATGATTTGAAGAACTGCAGCTGCATTATTGATCCATCCCTGTTGATCGATTCGTAGTGCATTTTGAACGGCCCATATAAATGTAACTCCTATACCAACGCCTACTTGCCCCCCGATACCTAACGATGATTTTCCATTGAGTATGAGTGCATCATTCACAACGGTTGCAAAACCAGATGAAAATGCGGCATCAGCTTTATTTTTATATAGACAATAAGATATGTTTTTAAAAAAAATGTTTTTTTATTATTACCTGCAGCATTACCGAAGAAATTGAACCATCCACAGATGAAGGAAGCCAATGGAGCATACTTAGAAGACACAAGCTTACCCGACCTATATTTGAAATAATCGATCAATAGAAAAAAATAATATATATATGTATAGATATATTCATACCAATGATAGACTGAACCCGCAGTCGGATAGACTGAACATATTTCAGCTAATGAAAGACTGATGAGAATTGTAAAGAAAGATCCGAGTATCCAAGACCATATAGCCACGCCTGAACCCCCTGTATCTAATGTATAAGAGAAACCGATCGAAATCGCTGCAAATACATTGACAGCAGTGAAACAAAAGGTAAATGACATAAATGAAGAAAATCCACGATAGAGTTCTTGCGTATAGCCAAATTGATGAAGAATACATACATCTGAATATTCTTCTTCTTGTTTGCTGTTTGTGAGGTTTCTGTTCTCCATGCCAGAAATAGTAAATAGATTAGAAGTCATACCTAAAAAATTTGATCAAAGAAATAGATTTTTCAATTCGACAATAAAAATTTATTTTCTCGGTTTTGAAAAAATCTTAATATACTGTTATTAAATATTTTCAAATGGGATTGATGATCTAGAAAATTTTCGATTCAAATTGGCATAGCCAATATATTCCAAAAATGAAACAAATATCATTCATATTTTTCTCTTTCAAATTGATATTGATCGCGAATTATAGCTCCTCGCTCTCAATAACTTTTCGAGAAGTGTCCATCCTACAAAACTGTCATGTCCGATAGCTCTTACAACCTTTCCCAAACGGATTTATATAGCTAACAAAAAAAAGTTGTTTTTTTCATCCTGCAAATTAATCTATTGAGCGTTTTAAAAAAATTGCCTCAATATTCTCGAACAAAAAATAGATGCTCTATTTCTAAGCTTATACTTTCAAAAAGCACAAAATTCTATTTCTAATCCAAAAGTTTTTTACTGGCTCAAAACACATTCAAGCAAGCTAAAATTCAACACATATTTTGTTATGAAACTTTCAATCCACCATTTACATAGTAGGCAGTCATAAGCGATTACACATGTGTTTGAATCAATGCTATTGGAAATAAAATACTCGAAATCTCTGGAAAATATGGAGCCTGTAGAACGTTGCTGGAAATGAAGAGGAACGGTAGATTGATAAATCGACCCTGTTTGAAAATCACTTCATCAATCAGTTTTATGTTAGAATAATTACTTCCATCTTTAACACTGCATTACTTTCTATTCATATGGACAATTTTCGTGAATATTTCATAGTGGACTCGACGATATAGTCAACTAGCCTTATCCATCAAAATCTTTTCAGTTATACATTATTCAATAGAGAAAACAATTCTCTATCCACTGATATGTATTAGAACCGAAAAAAATATTGAAAGAAACTCAACAACTTCAAAATACCTGAAGCTCTATAGGTTTTACAGAGAACTTAAGTTTTTTTAGATTAAATAGAATGCAAAATCCAACTCAAAATACATCATTCGATAAAAATTAGTATTTCATATAGATTTTTCGATAATCTTGATTTTTATGTATCGAAACCAAACTTATTTTCAAATACAATTTACAGTGGAGAAAAAAAAGAAAAACAAATTTGTCGTTCTGTCACTTTATATGCACAGCATATTGATATGTATCCTTCTTGCCTTCATGTACCAGTTCGGCGTATATAAAGCAACAGAACGAAAAAAAAACTTTTATTTTCATTTTTCTCCTATTTGAAAAGATAGAGTCTTTAATTCTCTACAAGCTTGTATCATTCAAAAATTTTTGGAGTTTGATTTCAATACATAAAAATCAAGATTATCGGAAAATCTATATGAAATACTAATTTTTATCGAGTGATGTATTTTGAGTTGGATGTTGCATAATCTGAAAAACTTAAGTTCTCTGTAAAACCCATAGAGCTTTAGGTATTTTGAAGTTTTCGAGATTCTATCAATATTTTTTTCCGTTCTAATACACATCAGCGTGTAGAGAATTGTTTTCTCTATTGAATAATATATAACTGAGAGGATTTTAATAGAGAATAAAGACGTCATAAAAAGAAAATTACAGATATCCAAATCATTTTTTTTTGTATAGGAAATCAAGCAATTATAGAAAGGCTTCCAAAACTTTGTGAAAACATTTTCGAAAGATAATTTGTTTTTTCGTAGAATAAACTAGAAACTTTGATCGATCGAATGGTATAATCAGACTCGAGAAAATATTTTTTCTTCTTTATGAAATTTGCTTCACAAGACAAGTACTACGAGGTGTCCAAATAAGTATTCTACAGACTGTAGATATTCTCTTTAAATGAGTGGAAAAAGATGATAGTGGTAAATTGAAGACATGACTAATGCCTTCAGTTAGACTAAGAAGAGAGAGAGAGAGAGAGAGAGAGAAAAATGAAAAAAATGAGAAAGAATGTGAGTGTTGGTGTAGAGAAGAACTTAACTCACTAGTTCGGCTACAGCCACACTTCCATCTATCCTACTTGGTCTTTGAAGCTGATGTAATCGAGTTCCTCTTAACCACCGAAACAAAAACTTTTTATCTTCGAAACATCATCTACAGGACAATAAAGCTCTCGGAATATCGTTCATAATTAGGTGAAAACGTTGACTTATCACAAGGATAGGCACATCATTTGAAAGTAGACACTTTGGTCGAGAAAATTATGTGGTAAAAGAAAATTTGAAGATTTGATTAAAACATCGATGTTCTCAGATGAGGACTTTTAATGTTTAGACATCTTATGTACGAGTCATTTTTCAAGTACAATGTCCATCTTTTTCTAGCATAATACTAATAAACTTCTAGAAGACATTGAAACTAGTGTGACCATAACATAGTCGATAAATGAATGAGGGTGAGAGAATCGCTCCTTTCATACACTATCATTTTCCATATTGGTATCCTTCAACATGTCTATAATTTTTGTTTTCAATTTACTTACGTTCGACCAAAGTTGACTGAATCGTCAATTTCACGATGAGAGGAATAAATTGACCTGAACATGGCAAATTTTATTAACTTACAATGCAAACACTTCCGCTGTTAAGTGTATAAGGTTTTTTTTTTACTTTAAGGTTGATCGATTGTATCACCTATATAAATCATTCAAAAAGGAAGTAACTATTTTTTTTCTAATTAACGTTTGTTTACCTGTAGAAAAAGAGTATGTCTTCATTCGCAATGTGAATAGGATGCGCAAAGAAAATACGTCACGACATCATTCGTACTCTATTATTTCACAATATTGATTCTCCGTATTATGAATCTTTACACTTTCTTTGTGTTGTTGTCTCCTTCTAATGAGAGAACGTGCTTTGATACTATCAAACACAATCGCATAACGATCGAATCTTTATTTTAACATTCTTTATTTTTAATTTAATTTAATTTGACATTAATAATTTATTGTAAATTAGTAATGTTTCGTATCTTGATGAGATACTTCCTCAGACATTAAATTTAAGATAAATAACATATAAATAAATATAATAAGAGTGTGGGTAGCTTTCCGTCGATATTCATATCTACACTCTCGAAAAAGAAAAGTTGATTTTATTTTTTAAATTGATAAAGTTCAATATATTCGTTTCTTTTTTTCGTATAGATTTTAATTGATGCTAAAAAAAGAATATTACAACAACTTTCTTATATACAGATGTCATTTAATGTATTTATGTTTATTAGTTCATTTATATTTCTTGATTGAAGATTTCCTATTTTAAATTTATCTTATCAATTTAATGCAAAATTAGAAAAGAAAATTATTTATTCAAATATTATTACTCGTAAAATAGTGAAATAAAGTTGTTTCATTTCTAAGTATTCTATTATTATCAGAAATTTTTTCTTGCTGTTATATGGTATCCATGGTCACATTATATCACAAAATAAGATACAATATTGAGTAGACGATCAATATCTTCTTGATTAGAACAAACTTTTTATGACATAATAAAAATTCATGTAAGAAAAAAAAACAATACAATCAAAGAAAGATTCTTTCGTTCCATAATTATTTTAACTGATGCTCCTTTTTGTTTCTATTTTAGCTAATAAATACACATTTGTATTTTATTTATCTATTGTTTCTGCTATTCTAATTTGTTCATTGATTGATTTTCTACTTGGACTTAAAGCTGATAAAAGTAACATTCTAGTTTTTTTTTTTTCATGTTGATTTTACAACTTTTATTTATAAATATTGTGGCATGTATTGTATGCATGTTTACATAAAAGAGTATGATTATTCCAGCATTGATTTTGCACGAGCGACCATTGTAGGTGAAAGTCAAGCAAGCGTAGAAACATTGTGAGTTTTACTTAGAATATTTTCAATGTTAGAGAGTCCAGAAAAACGAAAAAAAAAATTGAATCTCCTAAATATGTGAATAATTTACAATCAAATAGAAAAATATTTTCATTCTTGTAAATATTTATATATCTTTATTTTAGCTTTCCATCAGAATATACTAGTACATTAGAATATGTTATGTTGACTTTGATTGATGTCATTGTCATCCTTCAGTATGGTTTAGTCAAAATAATAGGTGATGTATCTTGTTCATGGAGAGTAAGTTTTTTGTTGTATCTCCCGGTATTACTTTATACAAGCATGGTTAATTATATTATCAATAGTGATATTGATGTCATGTTATCAAAATCAACTTTGGTGGAAATATATAAGAAAATTTAGAAGAAAACTCAATAGCAATTATTGAAAAAGGATCACAGATAAATTTTAAGAAACCAATTAATTTCGTTGTTACGTAAATTTGATCTTCCCGTTGTTTTATTTCAATTAACCCCTTTTATAATCTCTCGTACGATTGTCTCTATGGAGTAATAGATCTTCCTGTAACAACATATCGATAAGCTGATCGTCATACAAGTAAACATATCTATAGCGGAAAAAAATTCTCAGATTTTCATGAGTACATGTGATATTCTCAATACTATCACCATTCTTAATGAAATCAAAACTTGGTTTCAGTTCATTGGGAACATATCACTTGATGATATTCTTTTATTCTTAAAGCATTAAGCGATCGATCCAGTTGCACGTTAAGAGCAAGCACATACCTACACACCCATCCAAAAGATAGTAATGTTGGGCAAAAGCACAATATTGATGAGATTCACGAGAGAATAAATCTGTATAGAAAAGTGAAATATTTAATGTAGTGAGTACTTAATAAAATCTCGTTGTAGCCAAAATTTCAGTCCTTCAATATCTAACAGTCCAGTGAGTGTGTGGGTCTTTTCTGTAGTTGCATTGACATCTTCATCAAAAAACAATGAATAAATATTTGCATTATGATTATTTGATTGGCAATTATTTTCAAATGATTGAAAATATTCTAATGGAAATTTCGAATGTTTTGAAACATCTTAGCCTATTACAAGATCATCAGATCAAAAAAAAATAATTGAAATCTGCTTTTTTTTCCACGAAATAATTTCTTAAGATTGGTTTAAATTATTGTTTCATTTTCAGTACGAATTTTGAATTCGAAATGATGAAGAGATCATACAAGTGATACGCCATCAATCTTAGCTGAGAAGAGAATCAACCAATAAATGATGCCAAAACTACGACTATAACATTAAATTCTAGATACTGATAATTTTAGAACGACAGAAGATCTCATAAATGAACAGTAAGTTCATGATGTAATTTCTCTTAAGAAGATCAAAGAATAATCAAAACACCCTCGTTGATAATTTAAACTTGTTTGCATAGTATGGATAATATCTTGACAATTTTTTGCTATTTCAAATGGAATTAGACGCCTTGTTGCTACTGAATTATTATTTGTATCAGAAATTATTTTTGTAAAAAATTGGTGCATTATTTGGTAAATCAAGCCAATATGGAACAGTTTCTTGTTCTCCAATAAATAACTCGTAAAATTGATTCAATTGATATATCTACAGAAAATTAGCGAGAAAAATTAAAATTTAATTCTAAAGATTGATTTTCATTTTTAGGTAAATCATTTAAATGTAATTCTCAACATCTCATTGCGAACGATCATTGAGACTGGAAAAAAAAATACATTGATAAATAAAAGGTAATTTATCATTAACGAATACATTTGGTAAATATCGAGAGATATAATATCATACGTATTTTTTTGAAATTTAATATTCTTGCACGAAAATTTAAATAAATATTTTTTCCATTGATGTTAAATTTAATTTTAATATCAAATAATATTTATGAAAATTGAATAGAAATAAATCAATCTCGGATCTTCTCCTCAATACCGATGCACTTCGAGAAGATTCTTCATAAATCCATTTCGAATCGAAAAGACATTAAATCTTTGTTTTAATATTATTAAACATTGTTCTAACATTGAAAAACGATACAAAATCTGAAAATTTATATTGAAAAATCATTAGAAAAATGTTAACTTTTGTTTAGAAAATAATATTTTAAATTCGCATTCAATCAAGTTCGATTATACAATTGATATAATTACAAAATAAACAAGAAGAATAAGAATTATTCTTCAATTTTTATACTCATGTTCGTCTTTTATTTTTTTTTTATATAGTCCTGTTTTATGATTTATCTTTTAGCTTTTTTATTGAAATTATTTAATTGTATGAAATTAAACTAGAAGAAGAATATTATGTTAATTTTCTTTCTTTGCATCTGTTTTAAATACTTACACCAATACAAAACTAGTTGCGGAGGGTGTGAGTATGGGGTATGGATGTCGGTGCCGGTGGGTCTGGGTGTGCGTGCGTGTGAATATAAATGAAAGGAATATTCACACTTCACATCCACATCCGCACCCTCCATCACGATGAGACAATAGCCATTGTTTGCTTGTTTGTCGTAGTTTTTGATAGAAAAAGGAACTCACCCCGGACAGCGTCACAGAACAACAGTCGAATGCTTTTTTTTCTTTCCATTGTGGGAAGAACTGGCAAAAAATTTATTCGTCTGAGTTTAAAGCAAGTATAAAGTGTGCTACACGTTGCTTGTGCAAATAGTTTTATTCGTTTTTTCTTCTTCAACTTGATTTTGGACCATAAAAAGACGATTGGTGTATTTGTAAAGGTGAGACTCATGGCTAGCGCTGGTGGATCTTTATCATTTACCTTATGTCAGCATAAATCCTCTGAAAATGAAGATGAATGTGAAGAAGAACAATACGCAGTAAGTTGAAGTTTTGTGATATAGGTAGATGCATAACAGAAACTTCGTAGATTTGCCCACATTGCGATTTGTGGCTCTGCGTTCCTCATTTTCTCCATCATTAAAAACTTGTCCAAGTCAGGTGACCTACAACCACTCACAGCCACAGCCACACTCCACACCCTCGTATAATACAGATTGTGAGAAATACATATATAACATCTGAAATATGTAAGTAGAACTTGTCTTAAAAAATGAATTTTTCATTCATGTCTAGGAGCTATCCTGTTAGTATTATTATTTTTCAAGCAATTCCATGAGAAGAATAATGTTTCACTGCTACATAACATCTATCAAATCAAAATTAATTTCTTATTTACTTTAGGAATAACTAAACATGTGCATTTGGAAGTACGATGTTACCATTTTCTTATAATAGATTTATTTAAAAAAAAAAAAAAAAGTGTGTTTCATTATCAATATACGAAAAATAAGGATATCCATAGTTCCTTCATCTCGTATGGATTTCAAAATCACAAATCTATTGAAACAATATAGAACTATTGTATATCGTTTTTTTGTAAAGATTTACCTTATTCTTTACTGGAGAAGTATCGAGACATTAAAGAAGAATCATGAAGATTCGACTTATCTCTTCTTTCTTTCTTACTAATTTTTCCAAATGTTAGAAAGAGAAGCACTTGTTTTGAATTTTATTATTATCCAAGTCAAGTTTTTCAAAGTATCCAAAGGATGACTCATATATCATATATTTTTATTGATGCTTAATTAATTATGTAAAATCTTCATTATGGCAGAAAAAGTATATGCCCAATTCGCCACTTTATAATTAGAATCTTTTATTTAGTAGGAGATCGGCATGAAATGATGATTAATTATAAAATATTTTTCTATTGACTAATGAAAATCACAAACAACTAGCTGACACGATTTTCGAAATATTCATTTTACAATCTATCATTATTATTTTATTATGTCGATATGAATTTCTTTAAAATTATACTTTAAGATTATATCAAGTTCCACTAAAAAAAAATAGTCTAAATATTGAATCTTTCATGTAAACCATTGCCAATAATATTTATGTTCAGCAATGCAATACTATTTTTCGATAAAAATAGAATATTTAAAAAATGTTCGAATTGTAATAATAAATATTGTCGTCGTTGACACGCATCCATTATGACCTTCTATCATTAACAGAAAAGGAAAAAAAACATATGTGTGAGAAACGAAAGAAAGAGAGAAAGAACAGAAAAAAAGAATGCAAAATAGAAAAAGAAAAAGTTGGAATGATAACGATCGAACAAGACTATGCGAGAATATTCTAGAATTTACTCGTGCTCAATAACCCGCCCTATATATATATATGTGTGAGTGAATGGATCTAATCAGTTATTTGAATATTCAACTGCGATTATCAAACTCTCTCTCAACGCTACTTCTACAAAACAATGTCACTCTTTCCAATTCGTCGTTATCGTCTTTTCGACGATCCATTTGATCGATTCTTTGGTGATCAATTAGATTTCTTCGATCCATGGTATGATTTTGATACATTTCCGTCGGCGCTTTCTATTCGACCAAATACTTTTCGATGGATCAATGAACCATATCGATTAACACATTCCTCAACAACACCAACATCACGATCACCAACTGCTGAAAAATTTCGTGTTCAACTCAATGTAGCAGGTTTCAATCCAGATACAATTAAAACAAAAGTTGAAGATCGAAAAGTAATTGTCGAAGCTAAACAAGAAGATCGTCAACCTGATGGTGATTATAATATTCGAGAACTACGAAAAACCTATGAATTACCTGAACATGCTGGTAAGTAAATAATAAAATAAATTATTTTCTTAATTAAACCTATGTATTCATAAATGTTTCTTTTTTTTCTTATAGATTCACAACGTTTAACTTCATATGTAACTCCAAATAATATGCTTGTCATTGAAGTACCTATTCGTAATCTTGAGGGTGTGGGTGTGGGTGGGTGTGGGTGTGGGTGTGGGTGTGGGTGTGGGTGTGGGTGGGTGTGGGTGTGGGTGTGGGTGTGGGTGTGGGTGGGTGTGGGGTGTGAGTGGGTGTGGGTATGGGTGTGTGGGTGTGGGGTGTGGGTGTGCGTGTCAGCCTTGTCTCAATCCACACCCACACCCTGAATGGACTGATAAAATTACTGGTGAAACATTTCCATCAGAATCAAGTATTTTTATTACCTATATTAGACATGAATCAGTTGGGATCTATGAACAAATCATTTCATGGTCAGTTCAAACATTCAATAAATGAAAATTCAAATTGTGCTTTCTTCTTTCAGTGATTATTCAGTATGATATTCTTTCTTACATATACATTAAACAAAAGTATTGTTGCCATTATATTTTAGACTATTATGTTGGCCTTGAAACTTGAATCAGCATTAGTTTGCGGTAACTTCATTACTTCCATTAATTTACACTTTTTTATATATTGCAATAACAAATCGGCAATGTAGTTATTCTCAAACCAACTGAACAAACACCACTTACTGCACTCTTTTGTGCTTCTGTCATCAAGGAAGTATTATTCATCATCTATCAACAATCAAAATTTATTCGAATACTAAATCAATATTCTAGGCTGGTTTTCCACCAGGTATTATTAACAGTGTATTAGGTAATACACATCACCAGAATGAAAACAACTCTTATAACGATATACATATGTAAGTCATGGACCTAACTGTGATCATTCATGAAAAGATTAATAAAATAGCTTTTACAGGTTCATTCTAGGCAAGATTAGTGCAGATGAAAAACAGAATAACAAAAGCACATGATATTTTGTTTTAGGCTGGGAAAAAGATTCAAGAAACTGCAGGAAAAACTAATCTAAAGCGTGTTTCACTAGAGCTTAGGTAGTAAAATCATCTTTCTTACCTGTCTGTTTTGTTGCCTTTTTCATCACATATAGGTAGTAAATTACCATTACTCATTTATGAAGATACTGATCGTATGTATTAAATAATTCTATTACTTCCACTTTCATTGTGCTTTCTAATGATGAAAAAGGTTTATAAATGATAGAATTAGTTTGTTTTGCATGTTTTAGTCGATGTTCCTGTTCGAACTGCTCATAGAGCAGTTTTCACTCATGCAGGTCAAATATGTTTTGCTGCATCAAGAATATTTGTTCATTCCACACTTCACGATGCCTTTGTATCTAAAAGTGTCGAATTAGCAAAGAAACGTATTGTTGGTGATCCATTTGATTCTACAACTGAACAAGGACCATAAGTATAGGAAAGCATTTCAAGTAAAGTGTCATGATCTAAACTATGGAAAAAACATACTGATTGAGGACTCAGAAAACAATTTGACAAGACAACAGATTAGCATTGATTTCTTTTGTGTATTCTACAAAACAGTCATACTCAATTAGAAACAATTCTTGAATGTATTCGATCAGGTAAAAAAGTTAGTGACAAAGGTTATTTTATTCGATCTACTATTTTTACTAATATAAAAGATGATATGAAAGTAGCTCGTGAAGAAGTTTGTCTTTTTTTCTCTTTTCTTCATTTCATTGAAATCATTTTCTTCTATTTAGAATATCTCTTGGTTTCAACTTATTTTCCCATTAGTCGATCCATTGGATATATCCAGCAACAGCATCGAAATTCTTATCTACATTGAAATCGGAATCATTGGTTGAATAATACATATAGTTTAGGTTCGATGTAAGAAATTTAGATGCAATACCATACTTCTCTAACTTCTGACGGTGCTTGACTGTAAACGTAGATCTCTCTACTAAGACATTGAACCTCATATGGTATGAAGTGACACTTAAGACAAAAAATAGATCATGCAAATTGTACGCTACAGTCTATTCAAATGATTACCTTTTTATTTCTTTTTCTAATTTACTTTATGAGTATTAGCAGAGGGTCTACTAGAATACCAGACAACATGGCTGGTGAAAAATTTTTGATTTTGTATTTAATTATCTTAAAATAAAGGTCGCATATAGGTATTACTAAATCCGAAATATTAACTCGATCTGATAATGATTCATTGAATTATGATGTATATCATGGTAACAGGTCTTATAGAGTTATAATGCAAAATGATAATTTTTATTTTTGATACTTTTTAATGTATTGTAAAACTAAAGCATTATTTCACGAATTAATATAGCATTGATTGTTGTCAAAACGAAGAGTATCTCTTTTTCTGTCGATTTCACACAAGCATCATTATATAGGAAAAAAAGGGTTAATACGATGATTTTTTAATGAAGAAGTGTATGGTTTTTCCTACTATGGTTTTTCATGTTTTTTTTTGCAGTTTTTTAAAAGTATTTTGATCTTTGAATTTAAAAATGGGGTTCCTCAGGAATTTTATGATATCAGAAGATAGCCCGTAAAAAACTCCATCTTCTATGTGAAAATATTTAAGGAAAATCATGGCTGGCTCAACCAACTTTTATCAACAAAGTTTATCACGACGTATTTTTTGTGCTGATTATAACGTGTTTTCATTGTTTCTTGATGTTAATCACTTCTCATTCACGATTTAATCTATATGTTCATTTAACAAGCATAACTACATCGAGTAGAATGTCAGAGCCAAATTTCTAATGATACTCCTATATATATAAATGTGGTCGACCAAGTGAGCCTCACAGTGCGTAAATTCTAAATTTCGCGCTCACTTCACGCCAGTCCATTTGTATGCTTAATAGTACATAGTAGGATTCCATCAATTGCAGCCATAGACTATGAGCACATTATGTGATTGTAAGTTGGTTAATTAATTAGTACCCAACTAATTAGAACTAATTGGAGAGAGTACATTGGGGTCATCCTAAGTTTTCATGGTCTTTTAGGCATTTTCTAAAGAATTGGTAAGAATCTCACTTATATGCCATATATTAGCTGATCTTGAATGCGTTAGGAAATATTAGGTTCATGAGTAATGTAAGAAACGTGTACTTGAATTTTGCTTTAGCAAGTAAGAGTAAGCTTTTTTGTTAGCTGAAGGTAATTGAGTTGCGTGATAGAGTATCTTCGATACACAAGTAGTATATGCGGCGGAGAAAATGTTTGAAAATTTGGGTAAACTTTGAGCTCTTCTGTAGTTAAAGACCGATTGATCATTAGGTATGCAACAGACCCGGCTCATGCGAACAAAGCTGGCTGACTAGTTCTATTTTAGCAAACTGAGCTGAATCTATGATACACCCGCTTACGATTATCGTTGCAAGATAGGGCTTTAGGATTTGAGGACACTTCTATATAATAGTCCTTGAGTACCTGTAGCACAGTGGGGAGTTTTCGCATAAGCAGGCGAACATACGATTTTTTGTCCAGAAATGGCTTTCATTTGCTTAGAAATAATCATACATCATTCAGAGAGTCATCTTTAAGAAAACAGAAAGTTTTTAAGAAAAAAATTTACAAAAAAATCTGGCTAGGGAGTAGTACCTCAGCCATAATTTTCCGAAAACAATTTGTTTTGAAAAATATGTTGAGCTACATATCACTCGAAGTAGTGTAATGCGTGCATTCCGAATATCACCATAGTTTTTCTTTAAAGAGTAATATCAGTGCCAAAAATCGGATTTCCGACTGTAAAATAGCTTAGGAAAGGTTTCATAAGTTTGCGCCACTATCATAAGTAGGTTACATATATAAGAACGTCTGGTAAAAATGCGTGGTCGATTCGACATTTTCTCTTTGTAGTGCTTACAATATATGGAATGATATGTTTTCAGATAGGTTTTGGATATCGAGATTCTTTGTCTTCTGCTCTATTTTAAATTGGATTTGGATCACCTTTTTTTAAACATAAGGTCTACTCATGAGGAAGCTTTTTGTGATATTGTTTGCTTGTGCAATATTGTTTCATATTGCCTAGCAGCTTGATTTTCTTTATTTATGCTGATTTCTGGGGCGCAAGCCTTGGCGAGCTCTTTTCTTGAGCTTTATAAAGCCTTGAGAACCGCTATTTTAGGAAATGATAGATCACATATGCATGTATCTACGCAAATCGTTAGATTCTAGAAAAGAATAATTTCGTACATGTCCGTCTGGCTCCCACTGTAGCAGACATCAACGCTTGCTGATTCAGCGTTACTTCACCTGTGTATTGACTTTGTATTGTTCTACTTGTAAGTTGGATAAAACCCACTGATGACAGCTAACAAAGTGCTCCGTCCTTCATTTTCTTATTAAATATTTATTATGCAAATGAAGACTGCTATTCAAGTATGTTGTGTGCAAAGTCATCGACTTTCCGCGAAAGAAGAATAAAAGCATGTGCGCCAACCAACTTTTTTCTCTCTTTCTGTGATTAACTCCTGCGTCACAAACGACATACTGTATCATTGTTAAAAAACAAAACAAGGGTTTATAGTGTCTTATCGAGCCTGTTTGAATATATAATATATTCATTGTAGACTTCTTACCTGATTGATGATCAAACAACACAAAAATAAAACTTTTGAAAAGTTCATTTCTCAAATCGATGCGAATCTTCGCGAAGAGCTCGTAATGATACAAGACTCTGAAGGAAAAGTCCCCAGCTAATCCATGCCGTTTTTGTTGATATTTTGCCTATATATAGGGTTCGATGAGATTAGAAAAAAACTTAAAAGGATTACAGCCCATAGGCCTTCCTTCTCAAGTTATGATCATTTTACTTGGTTTACCACCTAGGACAAGGGATTCAGCAAAAAATCAAATTGAGAAATTTCAATCTAAAATTTTGGCCACATGCAAGTCTTATGGCTATATATTAGTCTAAATGATCCAGTCAAAACAAACGCCTCTTTCTCGAAATATTACGTTATCAAGAAAACATTAACATGCTACATACATGTCAGGAAAATTGACTTCTATGGAAAAATCAATATTTCACGGCAGAAGCATTTGTTTTGACTGCAGCCTTGAGCCTAATATATAGGTCATAAGACTTGCATGTGTATGAAAATTGATTTTTCACTGAATCCCTTGTCATAGGTGGTAAAGCAAGTAAAATGATCATCAATCGAGAAGGAAAGCTTATGCGCCGTTATCTTTTTGGCCTTTTTTCTAGTGTCATCAAACCACACATATGGGCAAAATATCAACAAAAACGGCGTGCATCCGTTGGAGAACTTCTTTTTTTCAGTAATTTTGATGTTAACCTTGTAGAATTCTAGTCTACAGTCGACTTACTAATGATCAAAGAGCTAGAATGAAGTGAGTCCTTCAAGAGTGCCTTTAGAAATACGATAAAAAGTCAAATCAATGGCTGATTCGAAGGGATTGGAAATTTTCAAAATACAAGTTACAAGGAGACGCTATCTATCTTGACATGATTACGTGAAGAGGCCTGACATCATTCACGCCAACTGTAACCATTACTCTATTGTTTCACATGATCGACAAGGTTTTTAATTTGAAGAAGAATGAAGGTACGAGGATGTGACTGTGGGTGTGGATGTCGGTGGACGTGAGCGTGCTTGCTGAAGAGAAGACTCACATCCACACCCATGCCAACCCATACCCGCGTCTACATCGACACCCACTACCACGTTCATATCATTTGCTTCCGCTCCCACATCCACACGCACACTCCCACATAACCATCCACACGCACACTCCCACATAACCATCCACACGCACACTCCCACATAACCATCCACACGCACACTCCCACATAACCATCCACTACTCATAATCACAGCTGTACCAACCCACATCGATGCCCGTTCGAAGCCGCAGCCACAACCACATCCACCAGCACCAATTCACACCATACGGCTACAACTGCATCCACCCATACTCAAATTCGGAAACCCATCTACCTAGACACACACATCCCAACATAAGATCGCACTAGCCTACAAGTGTATGATGATTATACCTCCACTTATTGTCTTTGTATCTTTCTTCTTGCTATCTTATTCTTATCATTCTATTTAATTTTGCTTAATTTCTTCTTATCTTGCATTGTCAGCCTCGTTTTATAGGGTAAATAAAAGTCAATAGAAAAAAAAACAAACGAAAGTTGGAAAGAATAACGATAAGATAAATGATGTTGTTGGATTTTTTGCTTTCGTTTGCTTTTCACAAGCATATTTTCAATTGGAAGTAGGTGGGGTTTATCTTTGAGTGTCAACAAAAAAAAATACGTACCCATATTTGACGTCATAGAATAATCTAGAAAAAAAACATCCAATATCGAATATATAAATAGAAAACAGTGGTCTCTATCCAAACAACAATTGATCCTTCACAATATTCCAT